TCTTTCCCTTTTTTTTTTGTCAACTATTTTTTCATTTTTATCTCTTTTGACAAATTTTTTTTTCTTTTTTCAAATTGACCCTTATAAATCTATGTTTCTCTCTAATTTCCTATTAAAATAATTTATTTTCATATATAACCCTGTCTAAATTTTTTTAACTCTTCTCCTACTAACGAAATGCTTCGTCTTAAGTCTCTTTTTTTTTCTCACTTTTTTGCTTCTTTTTTGTTGCTGCCCCTAATGTTATTAAAAAAAAATTATGAGTCGCATATGAAAAAATTATTTAGGAGACTTACGAGAAAATGTTTAGATAATTAAAAAAATATGTTTTAATATATATATATATACATAATATATATTGTCTTTGAAACAAATTTAATACGATTTATGATAAAGATAATGCTATCAATTTTTTTTTTCTTTTTAAGAATATCGCATATAATTTAAATTAGTATACGAGTTCTCATATATATCCCGTGAATGTCACAATAATTATTATACAAAACATTATAGTCAAATACTATCAGCGATCAAAATTTAAATAAAAAAATAATATGATAATTAGGGGTGGTAATTCGTGTCATGTGTCGTGTTCGTGTCGTGTTCTTATCATTTCTTACTAAATTTGCATCAACCGAAACATAAACTATGATACTAATTTAAAAAAAAAAAAAAACCACAACACGAACACGGCACAACTATTTTATGGGGTGAAATGACAAAATATGAAAATAACATGTGGCACGAAATTGACCGTGAACTCAAAATTAACACGAAATTTACATGCTTTTCATGAGTTTTTTACACACAAGAAATAACTTAAAATTCATAACACAATAAAACACAATATTAACATCCATCAAAATTAAGCAAGTAATAATATAATATTTTGATAACAATCATCATGATATAACAAGTTAATAATAATATCTAAAATATGTAATGAAAAACATATATTTTAAATTTTTTTAAGAGTTTCATGTCGTGTTCGGGTTAGCGGGTTTAACTCAAAATTGACCAATGTTTTTCATATCAATTTTAGGTCAACCCAATGAACTGGACCTCTTTTTCTTCAACTCTAATTACCAATGAAATTCATGTTTTTTCATAGTCATATTATCGTATAGTGACTCATATTATCCGCCATAATTATAATTATATTATTGTTATTATTATTATTATTATTATTATTATCCTTCAATTTGTGATGGAGGGCCACGGCTACGCATACTGCATTTATTACGTTAATTATGCATTTAGGCAATCTCTACGGAAGAGTTGAAAAAAGTTTCCAAATGGCTTACCAAAAAACTGTACAACACTGCTAACTTTGCCTATATAATCCCCCTTCCACTTCACAAGAAATGGGTAACAATAAGGGCATTTGCTACAAATAAAAGGAAACTAAATACATGTGACATAATAGTATAAAATTACGTTTAGTTCATAAATTCAGAATCATAATTCAGAATCATTCTTGATTTATGCGTGTTTTTTATGAGAAAAACGCTGGAACGAGTTACGGACTATGATCCGAATCATAGTATGAATCTTTGCTCCAAACGCACTCTAAATTATCATATTGTTGTGGTCATGGTTGTCGTTGCTTCCATGATATGTGGCTGCAATGCAAGGGAGCTGGTGGACGTTGGAGTCAATTTCAATGGTACTGGATTTGGAGCATGTTTCGAAGTAGGAGGCGCGGTTGGAGCGGATCCGGTGCTGTTGGTAACTTTGAATTTAAGGGCTGGAGCTGGTAAAAGCTTCCCTAACCCTTAACAGATGCTTAATTGGTCTTCGTTTCATCCTCAGTTGGTCTTTATAGCTAGTCCAATTGGTGAACAAAATTATATCACTAAATAACTTGTTCAGCACTCAACATTGTGTTCTTCTCACTATCACATCTACATACTTGTGTGCATATAGACACACGTCTATCTAACATATGTTTACCATTTTATCTAATGTTGACTTGCTGGGGTATAACAGTACTTCAAATCCTTCATCCGAAGTTTAAATTAAAAAAAAAAATACAAAATTATTTTAACGGATGTCCTATCTAAACCACAACTGTGGAATTACCTAAAATGGACGGATTGACCTTGGAGTTTCACACTTGTTTTCTTTCTATTGAGGAAGGGTAGTTTTTAGGGTTATGGGAGAGATTAGAGAAAACACAACAAGTCTAAGAGGTATGCGATTTTCTTGTAATATCTTTTTTCATCACAGTCAATTATACTACAACGTCTCACATTAAAAGTAAACAACTATAAATCTAGTGTTTGTTCTTATTCATTTTCTAAGACTATAAATACTTAATACATGTTTTTAAAAATATACTCAATAATTTCACTTTTTTAATACTTGAAACAATCTTTAAGGAAAATAACTAAATGTAATTTCAAACAGTCTCCGTATCACTCTCGAAAATTCTCGTTTCTATTTTCATACTTATAACAAAACCATTTCAGAAACACTACTAAAATGAGTCATATATTTTTCTTTAAGAAAAATAACCAAATATAATTTCAAACAGTCTTGTATTACACCCGCAAAATTCTCGTTTCTATTTTCATACTTATAACGAAACCATTTCAGAAAAATGGCCCTATATTTTTCTTCCATTCACTGCCCTATTTATTTGAAATATTGAGATTGTCTGGATATTCTACCCCGGTAGATGGCCGCATGGCGACATGTGCACAAGGTTGGCGACAACCTAGCACGACGCGATGCGATAAGAGTCCCGTCGCGCGCACCACGATTGCTATGTCAATTTGATTGCCACCACACGTAAACAAAAAAAGTAAACAG